GTAGACAACCTAAAAATCAAAGACTAAAATGCATGCAATCAAACACAATATTCACACATGCACCCTTAGGGTAATCTCACTTGTTGCCTATCAGTAAATAGTCACGTCCCTCGAATATGGGCGTTTTAGCAAAGACTCTCGATAAAAGATCGTAGTCCCTCGATGACCCTCGATGTTGCCTTCGGTAAACGATCTAGTCCCTAAACGACATTACTAAAACATCCCATAAGTTACCTTCTATGACTATACAAAACGTCCCGTGTCCGTCTCTTCACATCCAACGATGGGGCTTCTTACCAAATCAATGGTAAGATAGCAACATCTAAAGGAAGAAGAAAAGAACAGTTAAGACCTTTTGAGTAGGTAGATCACTCCTAGTTGCTCGCTTGCTCACAACAAAAACATTTTATACACCAACACCTCATTTGAAACGTTTTCAAAAGACAAACACTTTGTATGCGTTCTTAGAGAGACGAGAGCCATTACAAAGAAGACACCTTTTCAAAATCTCTTTCAAAAAACATAAACACATTCCACAAACACCTCTTTGAACTATTTTCGAAACAACACTTTGTATACATTCTATAGAAACGAGAACCATTACAAAGACATTTTAAAAATAATTTCAAAACCCACACCACAAGAACACATTCAAACAAAAGCAAGTGATCTAGAAAGAAACTAAGAGTCCGTAGATAACTACGGATGAAAAGGGTGCTAATACCTTCCCTTTTCATAATCTACCCCCCAAACTCAAGAGAACATCTCAAAGGTCTTTCCTGTTCTTTTCAGCCTTTCCTTTTGGATAAAAGAAAAGTCGGTGGCGACTCTTGCTAACCGCAATATTTGCGATAAAATGCAAAATGACCAAGTCAGTTCTCCCACCGCGTTACAGTATGTTTCTCAAAATATTCAGCTCCTTTTATAGAGATCCGTGAAAGAGTCGTTGAATAGAACTTCTAGCACAAGAGAGTCTTTGACAGAAGCATTAACATATCCATTGCGAAGCTTCCTGATATGGTTATTGTCATTGCAATCCCATTTGAAACTCCTTTGTCACAAAAAGAATTATCATTTGTAAATCTTCAGGATTCTTCAACTTTCTCTAAGTCTCCACATGACAAGTAGAAGACAATTTAACCTTAGAGTATGATAGAGGCCTATCAGACATTCCTTGGTTCTTGAGCTTTGACTGGTTTTAGGTTTTGGTCCTTCAGAGTCTGAGTTTTAGCTTCTGATCCTTCAGAATGTGAGTCTTTAGAGGTTGACTTGATCTTTAGAAGCTAACTTGATCAGAGTATGGAATCTTCAGGTTCTGATCATCAGAAGATGACTTTACCAGAAGTTGATTCTTTAGAGTCCGGTCTTTAGAATCTGCCTCTTTAGAGCTTCTCTTTCAATTTTTGGTGTGGTATTAGAACTATCTTTCAATCAGTATAATTATCTTTGTTCCTGTACACTTGAACACACATTAGTCTACCCAATTGTTATTTAAATACTTTGTTATCATTAAAACCTAAGAGATATGGTATAAACCAACTTAGTTCCAACACATTATTCCTCGTTTATTTGCCACACATACCTTCACAGCAAAGAGATTCTTCATTGCTTCGAATGGCCCAACCAAGCTTCAAAAGACAAACATTATTCATAACATCCAACCGTCTAATATCCAATTCTCCTAAGAACTTTGACAACACCATCACAACCCTCTCCATCGAATGAACTCTTTTATACTCCTCGCTATCACCACAAATAAAAGAACATTGTAACTTTTGTATCTCATGAAAACAAGCTTTAAGAATGCTAGTAGTCATCATAGTATATATATGAAGGGCTTCAATAACATCTTTAAAGAGAGTTACTTGACCTGGAAAAGAAAGGTGTCGAGCTTTCCAAGAGGCCAACTTCGACTAAAATGCTCAATGGTATAACTAAAATAAGATATTCTTGGTGCTCTACCAAGGAGAGAGACACCCAAATATTTTCCAAGTGATTGTGTTTTGCGGAAGCCAGACATAACATCCAGCCAATTTACGACGAACAGACACATACGTGTTTCTAGAGAAAAGAATGATTCTTTTATCAATACTCACTTGCTGACCAGACAATAGGAAAAATTGATTAACCATATCAAGAACACGTTGCATTTGAACCTTTATAGCTTTTCCAAACAATAAATGATCATTTGCATACACCTAGTGAGGTATGAGAGGACCATTTCTACCCGCCTTCATAGTTTTTCAAAAGTCTTGCTCCACACTATGAGAAATAAGATGAGACAATTTATTCGTACAAACAACAAAGAGGTAAAGAGAAATAGGGTCTCATTGTCGGATACCTCTTTGAGGTTTGAAAATGTATGTTCTAGTTCCATTCTATTTCACATTAGTAGTCACAATTATAATAGAGATCATAATAATAATGATTAGCTCCAAGGCATTATCCAATCGTAGTGGTATACAAAGTTGTGCAGAGGGACATCCCTACCTTAGATCGCCTACTAAGTAATACCGAATGAACAAAGACACACAACTACTCAAAGTAGGTCGTAGAAGATGAGAAGAAACTCCCTTCTAATTGCATCAGGAAGGCCTCTCTCAAAAGTACTAAACAAACGAAAACTCAACATTGTCAATCATTGTTTAGGAAGAAAATATTCTAGTATATTCCAAAGGCCTAACATGTTTTTACCATTATTGTGTAACGTCCACTATGGAACCCTTGAATAGACTTTCAGATCCATCCAAAACCCCTAGAAGGCATCTTGAAAATCCATGTTCGGGGAATGAACCAAAAGATAAGAGATCCAAGAGGTGGTCTCGCCCTAGTACCGTAGGAGATCATGGTCGATCAAACTTCCTAAGGACTCTCACACCATATGAGGAGATATACTAGCATCACCTGGTTGTCATCATGCAAAAAACAACAGACGTTAAAGCAAGTATCCACAAAAAAGATTCTAGCATTAAGAAATCCTAAGATAGATATTTCCTAAAAACATACTTGATCAAAGATGACAATACTGTATGGAGAACATCAAAACATATTTTCAAGAATCTTTGTACAATTGTCCTTTGAGATAACATAGACAAAACTAAGGATTCCAAGTCTTTGAAAACCTAAAGATCCTAGTATAAAGGAGGAGGACTAATAAATTACAAACACACAATATTCTAACTCTAAAAATTTCACATTTATTATTGTCGTTGATTTAAGCATCAAAATATTTGTAGATACCATGCCCATCCTCAATGTCATAAATTTTCATCAGAGTTCATCGCTAGATTACTGTTAACACCAATCGTATGAATAAAAAGGTTGATTTTCGAATCAAAGTACTAAATGCAATTTTGAGTTAAATTAGTGTTGGTCAATTGGGAAACTTGAAATCATCCATCAAAACCAACATTAATCCTACTTTCATATTCACACATACTTTCTATAACAACAATGCTATCTTGACACCATATCTCTACACTACACCTTATACGGTGAACAATATTTTTTAAATTAAATAATATATTTTATGAACAGTATAATGAATAGTGTATGAACAGTATGATGAACAGTGCATGAACAACACAATGAACAGTTCATGCACAATGATTTTTATTAGTAAAATAAAGTTGGTTAAGGAAATATAAAAAAGTTAGTTAATTAAGTAATAAAGTTGGTTAATAAACGTTTAGATTTTTAAAAAATTTAGTAGTAAAACTCAGTTGGTTAATGAAATATAAAAAGTGGTTAATAAAGTGATGAAGTTGGTTGATAAATATTCAGATATTAAAAATAATTTAGTTGTAAAATAAAATTGATTAATGAGAAGTAAAAAAAAGATTAACGAAACAGTAAAGTTAGTTAATTAACACTCAAATATTAAAAATAACGTTTAGTTGTAAACAAAGTCGGTTAACGAAAAGTAAAATATTAGTTAATGAAGTTATGAAGTTGGTCAATAAACATTCAGGTAGTAAAAATAGTTTTTACTAATAATACAAAGTTAGTTAATAAAATTACGAATTTGATTAATAAACACTTAAATATTAAAATTTATTTTTTTGTAATAAAATGTAAAGTATTAATTAATAAAGTTATGAAATTGGTTAATAAGCACACAAATATTAAAATTAAATTTTTGAAGTTGGTTAACGAAAGATAAAATACTTATTAATGAAGTTATGATGTTGATTAATTACACAATTTTATATTATTATAATCTATAAATAAATAAAAAAATTTAAATAGTTTTTTTTTTTAAAAAATATTTATTATTATAATATTTCACTATTATCAATAACTACGGTATAGTGTATGAATTGCTGTCAAGATAGCATTTTTCTTTCTATAGAGCTTTACTTTCTCATGAAAGAGAAAACCACTACACTTGAGAAGAAGGATTAATATATGATTTTGTCCAAAGTTTTCATCCTTCAAGATCCATAAAAGTGACTTTATAAATTATACTTTAAATATTTGGGGGATTATGAAAATTCGTTACCAACAGAATGCACTTGTTGAGCCTAACAGCTGGTGAGTGAGGTCCACCATGTTATAAACACAAATTTGTCTGTCCAACATCCTTGGTCCAAAACAAATTAAATCATTCTTCAACACTAATAATTTGGTTTTTTTACCTTTAATTAATATTTAACACGACTCAAACATGATTATCTCTAAAAAAAAAGAATATATAGAAAGAAAAAAAGAGATTTCAACTATAGATACTAGCAATGTAAAAGATGTACATAATAGAATACTCCCTCTCTATTTGTACTAGAATAATCTCATACACATGGAGATCACTACATTACATACATACACAACAAAGCACTCATTATATAATACTATAGTAATAACATTTGTGTATAATGTATTCACACATAGAATATAATTAAGTCCATTGATTCACCCTTATTTCTCTACCTTATATACTCAGGTCTCAGAAATATATCATATCCTTTTTTCTTCTTGTTCTTCTACTAACTAGCAGAAAAACATCATGATGAAGGTCTTAAGGTTGAGGAGAAGAACAAAGCTTTGGTTGAAGATGTTGTTGGATCCATGGCCAGATGATGAAACAAGAAAGTGATGACATAAGAAATATGCCCTCTAGGCAAGTCTGATGCTTGGCTTTTCACCCATCTTTGTTGGTTTAATTTGATGAGAAAAATCAAATAAGGCATGGAGTTGATTAATGTTTATTGTTGTATTGTAGTATATATATATTATTATAAGTTATCTATTTCACTATGTCTTTCAAACAACACTTCTCCCTTTCACTGTTGGGATGATGGTTTATATTTTATGTAGCCTTCTCTGTCTGTTATGCCATAGATTTTTGTATTACTATTTGTATATATTATCAGAAATCAGTTTCTTGTTTCTGTTCATAATTTGCCACAATTTTGCACCTACAAAAATCTTTCTTTGTATCTTTTTTGAAGCCAAAGAAGATATAGTAGTTTAGAGTGAAAGTGCTGGTATTGTAAACATGCTCTCAGACAATGCTTAACTAGAAGTGTTTTGATGAATATTTTTAAATTTTTAAGAAATATTTTTTTTTAAAAGAAAATATTTAAGGACAAACATATGTCAAGTTTAATTAATTGTATACTTCAAAATTATTACAGAAGAAGTTGGTTAAGAGTGCCCTAGGTTGTTCACTTCCAACAACCATGGTGTGCCAAAATTGTATTTTTCATTTTAAGTTATGGAAATTAATTATTAATAATTTTATAAAGAGATATTGATTATATTTATCACTAATTTTCTTCTTTTTATTATATATCAATACACATATTTTTATTCTTAAATAGTTATATATTTTTAAATAATTATATATCTATTCCAAATATATTAATGATAATTATTTATTTTATTTTAAAATAAAACAAAATCTTTTCAACTTCTTTTTTCCTTTTCTCCTGTTTATCGATTTTTATTTGCCTTTCTTTTTTCTTCTTCTCCACTTTGATTCACTATTCTCTAAACTCTTCCATTAAATCAATTTCTTCTTTTTTAACTTCATCAACTTTTTCTTCATCTTTGCTACTCTCTCCACCAATCTCTTATCTCTCACTCATACATTTCATTGTTATACCTATACTTTGCTAGATTTCTACTCATTCTCACAAGGTAATTTCTCTTTTCTTTTCTTTAATTTTGTATTTGCTTTCTGTTAAAAATATTCATAGATGGACAATTTTCTATTTGCTTTATGTTATTAATATTTATGGATGAGTGATTTTGTATTTAGTTTCTGTTATTAATATTCATGATGGGTTTTGTGCTTAAATATTGATAGTTTGTGGGTTATGTTTGCTGTGTTGCTGCTATGAAACGATGAATTGAAATACAAATCTGAAATACAATGTATTCAATTCAATAATACTATAATATTTATCTTTGATGAAAAATTTTACTACAGGATTATTTATTTTTTATTAAATGGTATAATTTAATATTTATAATTTAAGATGAAAATTAGTAACAAAATATGTTAATATCTTCATAAAGGAAAGTAGATCCAAAACTACTACAATGAGAACAAAATTGAGATTCAATTGTGTATTTTTATTATGTTCAAATGGATGTAGACTATAGAGATATAGATCGTGAAAAATTGGCTAGTTGTAATAATGTCGGTGATGAAGAAGGAAAAGAGGACATCGATATTTACAAAAAGATTAATGACTTGACAAATGATTATATAAGAGGTTTGGAATTTGCTTATGAGGAAAAAGCAAAGATTTCTATGAAATATATGCAAAATGTCACGGGTTTGCAATAAGAAAAGATGATGTAAAACGTGATTATGAAGGAAATATAAAATTGTTCGTCAATTAGTTTGTAACAGAGAGTGTAAGAGTGATAAGAAGAGGGGACAATGTAGAGATCCAAGGCCAACCACACGAAGGGAATGTCGTGTGAGGTTTTGAGTAGCTCTAAATCTTGTGACTGAAAAGTAGAGAGTTTATGTATTTGAGCTCTCTCATAACCATGAGTTAACTCCAGCACACTATGTTCATCTGATTCTTAAGTATCGTCGATTGAGTGAATCAAAATAAAGCTCTTGTTGATGGCCTGCACACACATGGTGTTAGAACTTGTCATATTTTAAGTTTTATGATGGCTCAAAAAGGTGGTCATGAAGGTCTGGGATTTTGTAAAAAGGACTTATATAACTACTTAAATAATGAAGCAATGGCAAAGGACATTTAGAAAACTTATTTTGGTCGGATTCAGCTAGTCGGATTGACTAAGAATGTTTTGGTGATGTGATTGCTTTTGACGCAACTTATAAGAAGAACGGGTATAACATGTCTGTTGTTGTTTTTCTGGATTCCACAATCATGGAGAAACTATAATTTTTGGTTGTGCTTTGGTTTCTGATGAAAAAGTTGAGACATACAAGTGGATTTCAAATACTTTTTTGGAAGCAATGTATCATAAACATCCTAAAGGAGTGGTTACAAATGGAGATCTTGCAATGAGAGAAGTTATTCGAGATATATTTTCAAACTCGTTGCACCGTCTTTGTTCATGGCATTTACATAGAAATGTTGTTTAGAATGTAAAAAATCCAAAATTCTTGATAGATTTTAAGTAATTGATTTATGCTACTTATATTGTAGACGAGTTTGAAAATGAGTGGAAGAGGGTAGTTGGTGATTGTGGTTTATCAAACAACAAATGGGTTAAGAAAACATATGAGATGAAGAGAATATGGGCTAGTGCATACATGCGAGACAAATTTTTTTGTGGTGTAAGAACTACATCGATCTCTGAAGCCGTCAACTCTTTTATCAAGATGTATGTTCAGAATAAAAGCAATCTTGTTGATTTCATGCACGGTTTTGAAAGAGTTGTAAAAGAATACAGGCATAATGAGTTAATATCTAATTTTAAAATGTTCTACTATGATCCCGTGTTAACAACTAAATTGGAAGGGTTGGAGCTCGAAGCTGCAAAGATCTTTACTAGGAAAAAATTTAAGGAAGTTTAAGATGAAATAGAAGATGTGATCACGGTAAATATTATCGAACGGTCTGAACTTGAAAATGTTGTGATTTTTAAGATGAATAGATTTTGCAACAAAAATTATACATATCTAGTTCATCTTGATATGACACAGAGTAAAATTTTATGTGATTGTAATTTGTTTGAACGGGTAGGAATTCCATGTTCTCATATCATTTGTTCCAAGAGGCATGAGCACGTGAACATATTTTCAAATTGTTTGATTTGTAAAAGGTGGACCAAATCAGCAAAGGATGATTACATATCTTCAATGTCTTATGAAGAATGTGATGATGAGAAAATGTTCATGCTTCGTCGAGGGACTATGTCTTCTGTATTCAATAGTTTGTGTGATATTTCTTGTAAACATCCCGATGATTTTAAAGACGCTAAGAAGGAGATTTACAATTTATGTGAGAAAATAAAGAGGCGTCTTGATGGCAATGGAAATCATAAGATTAATAAAAATGTTATTAATGATCCCATTATGACCAAAATCAAAGGTGTTCCTCGTAAGAACAAAGGCATTCCTCGCAAGATCAAAGGTGCTTCTCGTAAGACAAAAGGCGTCTCTCGTAATACCAGTCACACACATCATAAGTGTCAAGATATAGGTGAACATGATGCTCTACATGAAGTTGACAAAGGCTCTGTTGCAATATCAAATGTAGGGTGTGTGAGGTATGTTTCCAATCACTATGTTATATGTGTTTTTATTTGTAAATATTTAGGTTCTTAATTCAATATTATTAAAAAAAATTATGCAAGGTGATAAAAACGATGGTAGTCAGTAGAAGAAAAAAGATGTTAATGTTTCTTGTTCAATGAAAAAATTTATCAATAAAATAACATCAAAACATGTAAGTCAAGACACTTTCTATTTATTTTTATTGAAATTTAACAAGAGATTGACAATTTTTATAATTCTGTAATAGATTGAAAATGAAGAGATTGACCGATCAAACGAGAACATGTGAAACACACCTACTGTTGAAATATTAAATTAGATTAGATTAGATTTGATTAGATTTAATATTTAATATAATCCAAGTTGTGTTAGCCCAAGTCCAATTAGGATTGTATATAAATAGTCATAATGTGTATCATTATTTGTACACTTGAATAATACAAATCCTTATTTCCTTTATTATTCTCTCTTTCTCTCCTCACTAAAAGTGTCTCACACACTAACAAATTAGTATCCAGAGCTTCTGATTATTTTTCTTGATCAAGTTTTCAATAATTTCACGTCAGAGATCATTTTTCTAGGGCAAGTAAATCAACCGCTGCGAAGATGGCTAGTGATAAGGGCATTCTGGATTCTCTTCCAATGCTTGACGGTAAAAATTGGATCCGATGGAAAAAACATATGAAATTCTTATTTGGCTTCCATGAAACCCTAGAAGTGGTTATCGACGACGTTTCTGTGTTGGCTGCAAATGCAACTGACAAACAGAAAAAAAGCCCACAACAAAGTCAAGAAGAGAGATTGCAAGGCTGCTTATTGCATTCAAACGGTTGTCGATGCTGCTAACTTCGATAGAATATCTCATGCTGAAACAGCGAAGGAGGTATGGAATATTATGGTAAAGTATTTCGAAGGAGGTGAGAAAGTCAAGGTTGTCAAATTGCAAACCTTGCATCGATAATATGAGTTGTTGTCAATGGGAGAAGATGAAAAAGTTGCAAAATATGTGTCGAAGGTTCAGAAACTTGTCCATCTCATGAAGGGTTGTGGTGAAACCATTATTGATAAGATGATAGTTGAGAAGGTAATGAGAACGTTGACCTCTCACTTTGATCAAGTTATCGTAGCTATTCAAGAATTCAACAATCTTGAAACCACTAAAGTGGAAGATTTGGTTGGTTCGTTGGAGGCGCATGAGATGAGGATTGTCGAAAGGAAAGGAGTTCAGGACTCGATACAGACACTGTAAGCTCAATCATGGAAAAAAGATGGTGGTTCCAACAAATCCAAAGGCAAGTTCGATAAGACTCATGGCAAGAAATCTTGGTCGAATCCCCATAAGAATAAGGTCGAAGATAGATCTTCTGAATCCTCGAAAAGGAGAGGAGGAAACTATAAAAAGGACAAAGAAGATAAGAAAGGTATGCAGTTTTATAACTGTGAAAAGTGGGGACACTTGGCTAAGAATTGTTGGTA